GTTGCTGGACGAGTGTCTGCTGCCGAACTGCGACGGGTTGGCCTCCGCGTTCCTGTTTTATAGGCCTCGATGGTGGTAGACGCCCACTAGCGGCGATTCCTGGGTTTCTGACGTGGTGATGACTTGCACCGATGGCTTGCGTCCCTCAGGCTTGACCACGTGGCGATGACTCGGCGTGCCAATAAATGATGAGCAGCAAAAACGGGCCGATAGCTGACGCTGCAAAAGCAGATGACAAGATGCATTTAGTAGTTGCTGGACGAGTGTCTGCTGCCGTACTGCGACGGGTTGGCCTCCGCGTTCCTGTTTTATAGGCCTCGATGGTGATAGACGCCCACTAGCGGCGATTCCTGGATTTCTGACGTGGTGATGACTTGCACCGATGGCTTGCGTCCCTCAGGCTTGACCACGTGGTGATTACTTGGCGTGCCAAGGAATAATGAGCAGCAAAAACGGGCCGATAGCTGACGCTGCAAAAGCAGATGACAAGATGTATTTAGTAGTTGCTGGACGAGTGTCTGCTGCCGAACTGCGACGGGTTGGCCTCCGCGTTCCTGTTTTATAGGCCTCGATGGTGATAGACGCCCACTAGCGGCGATTCCTGGGTTTCTGACGTGGTGATGACTTGCACCGATGGCTTGCGTCCCTCAGGCTTGACCACGTGGCGATTACTTGGCGTGCCAATGAATGATGAGCAGCAAAAACGGGCCGATAGCTGACGCTGCAAAAGCAGATGACAAGATGCATTTAGTAGTTGCTGGACGAGTGTCTGCTGCCGAACTGCGACGGGTTGGCCTCCGCGTTCCTGTTTTATAGGCCTCGATGGTGATAGACGCCCACTAGCGGCGATTCCTGGGTTTCTGACGTGGTGATGACTTGCACCGATGGCTTGCGTCCCTCAGGCTTGACCACGTGGCGATGACTTGGCGTGCCAATGAATGATGAGCAGCAAAAACGGGCCGATAGCTGACGCTGCAAAAGCAGATGACAAGATGCATTTAGTAGTTGCTGGACGAGTGTCTGCTGCCGAACTGCGACGGGTTGGCCTCCGCGTTCCTGTTTTATAGACCTCGATGGTGATAGACGCCCACTAGCGGCGATTCCTGGATTTCTGACGTGGTGATGACTTGCACCGATGGCTTGCGTCCCTCAGGCTTGACCACGTGGCGATGACTCGGCGTGCCAATGAATGATGAGCAGCAAAAACGGGCCGATAGCTGACGCTGCAAAAGCAGATGACAAGATGCATTTAGTAGTTGCTGGACGAGTGTCTGCTGCCGAACTGCGACGGGTTGGCCTCCGCGTTCCTGTTTTATAGGCCTCGATGGTGATAGACGCCCACTAACGGCGAGTCCTGGATTTCTGACGTGGTGATGACTTGCACCGATGGCTTGCGTCCCTCAGGCTTGACCACGTGGCGATTACTTGGCGTGCCAATGAATGATGAGCAGCAAAAACGGGCCGATAGCTGACGCTGCTAAAGCAGATGACAAGATGTATTTAGTAGTTGCTGGACGAGTGTCTGCTGCCGAACTGCGACGGGTTGGTCTCCGCGTTCCTGTTTTATAGGCCTCGATGGTGATAGACGCCCACTAGCGGCGATTCCTGGATTTCTGACGAGGCGATGACTTGCACCGATGGCTTGCGTCCCTCAGGCTTGACCACGTGGCGATGACTTGGCGTGCCAATGGATGACGAGCAGCAAAAACGGGCCGATAGCTGACGGTGCAAAAGCAGATGACAAGATGAATTTAGTAGTTGCTGGACGAGTGTCTGCTGCCGAACTGCGACGGTTTGCGCTCTGCGTTCTTTTTTTATAGGCCTCGATGGTGGTAGACGCCCACTAGCGGCGATTCCTGGGTTTCTGACGTGGCGACGACTTGCACCGATGGCTTGCGCCCCTTACGCTTGACCACGTGGCGATGGCCTGGCGTGCCAATGAATGATGAGCAGCAAAAACGGGCCGATAGCTGACGCTGCAAAAGCAGATTACAAGATGTATTTAGTAGTTGCTGGACGAGTTTCTGATGCTGAACTCGGGCCGTTCCCGTTCCCGACATCGAAGCATGGAAATTGGTGGATTATCGTCGCGACCGATTATCTTACACGATATTCCGAGACGAAAGCCCTGCCATCTGGAACAGCGGTAGAAGTCGCCAATATTTTTGTCGAGTCCATTCTCCTTCGACACGGCGCACCTGAAGGGCTGATCACAGCTCGCGGGTCATCCTTCATGGCACAGCTGACTCAAGAAGTTCTTCGGCTCAGTCATACCAGCCATCGACGAAAAACTGCTTATCATCCGCAGATCAACGGGCTAACGGAGCAGCTCAACAAGACGATCGCCGACATGATCTCCATGTACGTTGACGTAGAGCACAAAACATAGGACGAGGTGTTGCCGTACGTCACGTTTGCATACAACACAGCGGTGCAAGAACCCACGGGAATGACACCGTTCCAACTGGTACACGGCCGGACGGTTACCACAATGCTCGACGCCATGCTGCCTCACGTGCCGGCCGACGATGGCAACGACGATGCTCAACTGATCTCGCAACGCGCGGAAGAAACTCGGCAACTGGCAAGAATCAAGATTCATGACCAACAGCGAGTCGACGCACGCCGCTATAACCTTCGTCGCCGGGACGTCCACTTTCAACCCGGAGACCGAGTGTGGGTGTGGACACCGATCCGCCGTCGTGGTCTCAGCGAGAAACTACTGAAGCGCTACTTTGGACCCTACAAGGTGCTTCGTCGACTCGAGGATCTGAACTACGAGGTGATGCCCGCCCGAACACGGACTTCATCACGCCGCCCTCTACGACCAGAAGTCACCCACGTCGTGCGCATGAAGCCGTACTACGCTCGATAGGACTGTGGACCTTATGTTTTCCAAATGACTCTTTAGTTTACCGTTATTTATGTTTTCTTTTTTCTTTTTTTTTTTTTTTTTTTATTCTGCATCGGGGCGATGCACTTTTTAAAGGGGGCAGTAATGCCGTGCGCGCAGCTGGCGAAGTAGGCAGCGCGCGCGTGGCCTAACGGTTTTCGCGCCTGCATCCCACGCGAAAAGCCAGGGTTCGATTCCTGGGAGCAACGTGTATTTGTTTATTCCTGCAATTTATTGTTCTGGAAAATTCGCGAATCCTGCTGCTTGTTCGAGATCCAAATGTTCTACACGTCGAACTTTCTACGCCGATTATTCCAGAAGGCCACGCGTGTACACAAGGGGTTTCGCGTGGTGAGCCAAGGTCAGTTTCGCCCCAGTGTTCGACTCTGCTGTCACGCCGATTTCGACGCCCGCGACGCTCTGCTTTCTTCAATTCCCTTTCTATTTTTGGGCACTAGTTTGCCCCATTAAACCTTTAGTTTCTTCAGTTATTATCGCCTCATCACTTGTCATTCATGACAATATGACAGGTCCTTGGTCAATGTAGGACGCTTGTTTAGGGTGGCTCCGATTTACACCCAAAGCTGCGTAACCATGGAAGTGGCCGAAATTACCGATCACAAGGGAGCTGAAGGAAAACCGTTCCCACGATTCCTAGAGTGCGGGCCGGGGCGCTTGGGGAATTTAGCGAATGGTCTATTCGGTCCGATTACACATGCTTCGAGCAACGAAGCCAAATCCGGTTGACTCCATTGTTTCATGGTGACTCAGGTCGAGACAGTTATCAAATGACATCCCGTTCCGTCTCAACGTATGCTTGACGTTTTATGGCTGTTAAATGGGACGTTATTTCAACGTTTACGTAACGTTATCACAGACGTGCGCTCGACATTTAATGTCGTTAAATGGGGTGTTATGATGTCGTTAATATAACGCTCTCAATTGAGATCCCGTTCAGTTTAGACATATACTCGACGTTTTATGGTCGTTATATGGAACAATGTGTCAACGTTGATGTAACGCTATCATTTTACTTCCCGTCCAATTCAGATGTGCACTCGACGTTCTAAGGTCGTTCAGTGGGACGTTGTGACGACATAAAATCCACGCTTTTTTCCAGACATTAGCCTTTCCATATTACGTTGAAAGGACCTGACGTTCAGACTTTCGAAGTTCTTTCGACATGCGGTTCCTGACGTCATAGACGCTCTTTCGACGTCTTTTCAACGTGTCTGTGCAGTTTGGGAAGGGGCCAAGTGGCGCAGCCGGGACGAACGTCATTCCCTAGCTGTCTCGAGCTCTTCCTCCTCTTTTTCTGGCGCCGGCTGTTCACTACAGTTCAATATTGGCTGAAACATTGACTGAATCGAGGTCCAACATCGGTACCCGTCAATGTTCAACCGTGAGGTCTTGTTGCACTTCCGTGAAATGCAATGTTAGGTCAATAGGGTGCCAATATCCCTACCGAAAAATTTGGTATAACTTTTCGCTATCCGGATTTTGGAACCGGAAATTTATCTGGATTCTATCTGGACTCTAACTGGATTTTAGGTTTTTATAAATTATTCCTTTGTCTGCAATCTGAATTTCGGGTTTCCAAAAACAAATTTCCGGTTCCATAATCCGGATAGTGAAAAGTTATACCGGATTTTTCGCTAGGGATATCTGCCAATGATTGACCCATGTTGTCCCGACAGTAGTGTGATGCTTTGAATGTTAACCGATGTTGTGCACATATTGTCGATTCGGTCTCAATATTGGATTACGTTACCCAATGTTAATTCAATACTGTTGGAGCTAAGAGGAATTTGATCAACAGGCCCGTTTTCTTTATCTTTCTTTCCGTTTGTGGCATGCGGTGTCATTTTTGTGATGACACTCCAGGTCCCCGTTATTTTATTTGATCGAAATCACCGCCTGTAGTTCATCTATAATACACTTCAAAAGTTAACATATAACCATTTATTTCCATCATAAAAAGAAAAATAAGAACCTCAACCTTGCTGCCATGACATCAATCAGACCCGACAGTTTTATATGCAGCGTCGGGGGTGTCTGGATTAACCTCTGCCACCCGAGGCCGGAATGCTGCCCAGAAATCTCGACCCTACTGCCATTTGCTCAGCTTACTGAGTACATCAGGTGTGCAGCCATAGCATAATAGACGATCGTCGTTTTGACCAATTGTACGGACGCATTCCTGTGAAGAAGAAAAATACGTTTTATAAAAATTAGTGCACTTTTTTTCGGCCGCGTTTTCATAATTATTAAGGTTTTACACTGTACCCACCTCTCGTGAGTACATGCGACAGATGTTGCACAAGGTATTTTAAACTATTTAGAAAACTGCGAATTCATTCTATCACAGGCGATTGGGTCACATATTTCTATTTCGCATTAAAATTATGTTTCTCGCTAGGTGTAATTGCATACTCCACCCATTTTTTCTCGCTAGTTTTAACAAGACACAATGGTCGAATAAAAACGTTGAGTGGGACGAACGCAGACATAAACAATTATTTCAATAAGCGACAACATCTGCCGATATTCATCGGTATCCCCCTGGGGCAAGAGAAAAGGAAAAGAAGGTAAGAAGAAGTTAAGTTGGAGACACAAAAAAAAAGAAGAAAGGACAACACAGCGGAGGTGACAAAAAGGAAGAGGCTCGGGCGATAGGAAATTCTACTCTGCCGTCGAAAGCTAAAGTGAAGGCCTGGACACATTATGGGAAGGACTGCTTGATCTTCCAAGATGCAATCATTCCTCCTCCAAGCTTGCTGGTGTGTGTGCCTATGACTTCTGTTTTGTAGGAATGAGGGGGGGGGGGGGGGGGGGCGCAGTCAGGGCAGGTGCATGCATGGGCTACTGTGTGATGATACGATTCAGAGGAGACCTTTGAGACTTCCAGAAAGTGGCTCGTGAGATGAACATGCAAATATCTTCCTGTTAGGCCGATACACTGGCCACCGCAACGTGACCGAATCAAATAGGTCATTCTTGGCAGTTGAAGAATTGCCAACAAGAACTTTTTGTACTGTACATGCAGTACAAAAAGGAGCTTGATTGTTTCTTTTGTTTTTAGGTTGGGCAGTTAGAGGCTGCAATGAGTCGCTGGTGGGTTGTGCGGGCGAGATTTGAGGGAAATCCTGCGCGGGGGAGGCTGTTATGTTGACAGAGGAGGCACAACACTGCCCACCATTTAAAACTCCTTTCTGCCCGGTACGTGACGTGATGGGACATCGCGTGACGTGACACCACGTCGGTAGTTGGCATGGTGACGTCACGCGACACTATGACATTCACTTAAGGATATAGAGAGCGAAGCAAAGGGATCGGTAAAGGGACCAGATAACTCCACCTCTGAAGGTATTGAGCCAAGAATTTCTGCAAAGATGGCCGAAGAACGTGCGCTAACGGCATACATGTATAACTGAATGAATTTGCCCGAATAAAAAGTTAAAAATGAAAAACTTCCCTGCTATCGAAAGGCATCTGATTGGCGCAACAACCGACAGATGGCGACACGTGAGATCGCAGGCGGCTAGAGAGCCAGTGTTACAGAGAGCTTCTAACTGCTCGATCAAGCTCACGTGGTTTATGGGTCGCATTAGCAACACGAGCTGCCAGGAGGGACCGAAAGTGTTAAACGTCTGCTGACGTCTCCGCCTTCTCTCCTGCTTTCCCTTCGGCCACGCGAAAACTCAGACCATGCGCACTTGCGACCGATCCCCACAGAAGGCTTCAGCCACTAGATAGCAAATGCTAACCATGGTTTGAGATGGACCCTCTATTCAGACCAAGGCTCACTACAGGCGGCCATGACGAGCGCTTCCCTCGACCTCGACATTATAGCAGACGATGTTTATGAGCTAGAAGCGACTCGTTTTTGTTTGGTTTTTTTCGTGCATTTTCAGTACATTATTTTTTTTTTAATTAAAATATAAAAGTCGAAGGTGAAACGAGAACAAAACAGATTTGTTTTCTGGTCTTATTCGCTTCGACAATTATTTTCGGCTTATGTCGTCTGCTTTGCAGTCTCTTGTTTTCACCGCTTTTCTTTTCTTGTCTTTAACTTTTATCCGCGCTTCTTTGGAATGCAAGCCATCTTCGTGGTGCGCTTAGTTCCCAAGGAGCGAGTGAAAGTTGCCCTCTAATACGGGGGCTGTCAGAGGACCAAAGGCGTCCACCGACGTTTTCGGGAGCTGCTTTAGCGGCGACCTCCGTGCTGTCTTAAAGCTCTACGCTGGGTGAGGCGCCACAACGAGGAGGGAAACCTCCAAAACAAGCCACAAACAACAGTGCTGTCATCACCAAAGTTTACGCTGAAAATGCGGTACTCGGCGCCTTCCACGGCCGGCCCCCACCTGTCGACGCGGAGATTAATGCCGAGATTTAACAGCAGTTGCTTCACTCAGACGCCTTTGGTGAGCACACAGACACCGTAGGATACGGACCTCAAGTTTTTCATTTCTAACTTGCTACTCTGGACAGTTTGTGCGGTGAATCTTGTATAATCTTAATGGACGTTCTATTTGCCATTTCTGTGCCAATTTTTAGCTCGATGTGTTCAGAAACCGATCTATGTCGTGCCTTCAAACAGCCATCAATCCCTTCCACTCAACCTGTAGTTTGACACAACATTGTGACCTATAACGCCACGTGGTATTTCGACCTTGGGCGACATCATGACGTTACAAGAGCCCGTTGAAGACACGTGACATAGGGGCGTCACAGCGTCCTGTGAAGCGCTTCATGTGGTAACGTCACATCAGGTGCCATCATGAAGTAACACTAGGGCCCAGTTCCAAAATTCACTCGATCATACTCCAGGGTAAGGGTTTTGTACCCTTGTCGTTCTGAAACCTACCCGCGTCCAGCGTTTTTGAATTTGTGCTGTCACGTGACGCGATCCGCCGGAGTAACTCGAATCCATTAGGGTAAGATTTGGAACACAGCCCTAGTGTGGCATCAGATATAAGGTCACGTGGCACTGACGTTATTTGCTTACGTGACTTCATCTCATACCATAACGTAGCAATGTGGCGTCACATCAGGTGGCATCACTTGACACTAATATCAGGTGAAAATATATTGTAACATAGTCACTTAGCAGGACACCATGTTGTCGCGTGATATTACAGTGTTCCGCAACCTTGTGACGTCTTTAAGTAACAAGAAACAAGTTCCCATGCGCCCTTCAGTGGCATTGTTCCTCTGCCCGCAAAAGGTGCTTGAGTGCGAAAAGGCCCTATAATTGCGGTGCATTTCGCATGTATTTGGGAAGTGCTAACGACACAGCCTATTTTACGGTGTATGCCAAACTGACCTATTAATAAAACTGGATTAGTTAACTTCTTAGTGGATCGTTTTTTGGTAAATCCTTCAAAAAACGTGCAGTGCGTTTCAAGAAAACTCTCATTAAATAGTTTTCATTGAGGTAGCCCTATTCTGTGCCCAATTTATTAAAATTTTATGTAAAGGGAAAGGTTCACCGAAAGTCCCTCGTGACTACCCACGGGTGAACTGTGATGTCTGAGCCATTAGTCACGAGATATTTTTTTGCTATCTCGCGCTTTCTTAATAGATTGAAACAACTAGATACTCGTAGACTACTCCGATGGAAAACAAACTGTATGATATTTCTCAACACGGAATAGACGTTTTGTATGGGGGGATTCAATCACAAAATAATATGCGAAAAGTTATGTCATTAATTTTTTGTTAATTAAGCAGTTTTGAACATCGCGACAATACCCTGACTTGCTCAAAATGACTGTTAGCGATAATGCGTTAGTTCGACACGCTTAGAGCTCGACCTTGTCTTAAGTTTTGGCACAAGTTAGCTGAAACGCCTTGCACAAACACTTGCTGAAGTAGCAGTAGGGTATCAGGGCTGAGCAGAGATACTTCAGAAAGTATTCGGGATTACAAATACTGAGATACATGTATTTTAAGGCCCAAAATACATATAATGAGACACATTTGTTTTTTATGCAATGGGATATCTCTGAGATACTTCTGCAAACCCGGCGGAAAAGTATTCCGGAATAGAGATACAGATACTTATAAAAATGCGTTTGTACCCGAACGGAGCTAGGTGGGGTGAGTGTAGCTCGTGGCGAATACGAATAGTAATTTATGCTCGTACTTTCTTTCTGTGCAATTTTATGCTGTTGCCCTTACCTCGAAATCTTTCCTTAGCTTAATGCCGCTAAAGAAAACATGTTACCTTTGATGAACCACACAGTTAGAGAACGGTAAAGACAGCGTGCCAAGCATAACGAAAGGCGTAACGATTGTAACGAGATGCCTAAATCTGGCAAAGTATAGCGATACAAGCGATACACTGTTAATGTTTTTCACTACTGAGATACAAATACATTTTTTTAAGCTTATCTCGATACAGAGATAAGATACTTAAAAGTATCTCCCAGATATTATCGCGATACTGCCCAGCCCTGTAGAGTTTTATCAGAAGGGAAAGCAAAGGAAGTGATTTTTATAGTCGAAGCTCGAAATATTACCTTTGGTTTAGGAGAGGGGGCAGTGAAAAATTGTTGAAAGAGAGGGGTTTATTATGGAAGGATGCCCCAATAGTGTTTCGTCTTTGATGGTCCTGGAGCAGATGTTGGCGCCCAAGAAGCGGCCGGCCCCAGTGAGACCGGAGCCGCGAGCGAGATCGGGAGGTCGAGCGTGAGCTCTTCGTGGAGAGAGGAGCGAGTTGGTAGGCTTGCTTTTAGGAAGATCGCGGTGCGCTTTGCAAATACATGAGACGCACCTTGATATAAGCCGAACATATGACAGATGCCGCTGGCGTGCTAGGTGCGGTTGCTTGTGCACGCTTCCGAAAGATATCCGAAGAAGAGTAATAAAGCACAACATGAACACAAGAGAAAACTTGGCTCCTACTTTGCATACGAATATACAACATTGACTGCAGGTAGGCTTCACCCCCCTCATTGCCACATGCAATGGGCGTCCGTTCCAGCAAGTTCTTATCAATTATCCTTGGTAAGGGTAACCTGAAATTATTTTCGACTTAATAATAAATGTCTCACCACACTACCGTCCCTGTACGAATAGTTCTCGTCGCACGTTATTCCCGAAGGCAGTCGCCGTTCGATGTTACCAGGTTTGCATCGTGCTGAACAAGTGTGAAAGTTGAAAAAGAAAAATCCCTGAAAGGACAAAATAAAATGCGTTATAGAGCCGTTGCCAATTTATTTTGGGTCAAAATACAGCAGAAGTAGACAAAAAATTCATTGGGTACTCGTGACTTGTTCGTAACTTGCTGTACCTTGCAGATTAGAATAGCATGCATTTTAGAAAAAAACTTCCGTTTTATGCTGAATAATTGGTGCGGCGAAAACAATTTCGTTACCTCTTCTAGCAGTGCCTCTTAGACACTAGCAGCAAATCAAGGACAACGACATAGCGACGTTTCGAAAACGTTAGGCGCGCGGTACAGCACAAAATCGCCTCTATAAATTATAGTTTCGTGTTAATACAGCGAAACAATAAAATAGCTAACAATAGACTTACAACTAAATTGATGCAAGCTTTTCTATGTTAAAACGTAGGTATTCTTTGAATAAATTTGGGTATTTATAAAAGGAAAAACTCGACCTTTGCACTCTTTTCTTTTTGCAATATAACTATTTATGACACTTTTGGAGCTCGGTTGCGTCAATCGATTGTACGGTAACGCTCTTTATATTATTCCGGTGCAGGGAGCTCATATTTTTATAAACATCTAGAAAATATGTATAGTTTATTCTTTAAAGTTCATGAACTGCGGATTTAGATTCTGGCTTTGCGTTGTGTTTCCATATGTTTGATTCTTGTCATGATTTCTTCTTTCACTCGTGCATCCATCTTTAGCATTTAGTGCCACTTACACTCGAAGCTGATGTCCCTCAACGCTCAGCACTTTACTCCCTAGAATTCTAATGTACAGTCCAAACTAAAATAGATCGGTAAAAGCAGGCGATTTCAGGGCCAGCGAAAGGGTGGACTTTTACCATCCAGTGGTGCAAGCCTCCAAATAAAGCTCGTAACTGATATTTTTATAAAACATATTGGGCCGCAGATAGCCGCACGAGAACCATTTTTGTAGCAAAAGAGAGCCTTTGAAGCGACGCTAGTCTTCGTCAGGCGCTTGCCGACCCCACGTGACTCTACACGGTTTCTCATTTTGCATGCTCAGAGAGCAATATCTTACTTTCTATTCGCCTTTCTTTTTTTTTTTGGCAACAAGCTCAGTGGCGTTATTTATTCGGCAGCCCTGGCGCACTCCCAGTCCGAGTCATCTTTATGCATCATTGTTCCACCATAACGGTGAATTTTCTGCAAGAGTAACATGAAAGACCATTTTCTGAAAAAACAGCGCGTAGATTTAATCTCGCAAATACAGCGAAACCCGCCGTCTAGCTGGGAACTGGAAGTGTTTGAGGGCTATTTGTATACTAGCGCCACCACGCTGCAACTTACGCGAGAAAGAGTAAATTGGGTGTTTTACAGCCCTTGGTAGTTTTTTTATAGGCCGATCAATAAAATGCTGTGCCAAGCGAGGGTGATGCAAACGTTTGGCAGCATATTTTAATTGTTTTGCTCTTAAAGACTCTACCGAAGCCTGACAGAAATGTTTGAAAGTCTCGACCGCTCCCTTTCACCTGTATGCAGAACATTGGAGCAATGCTGATCAACATTCCGGCCGTTGATGCATTGTGCATACCTTTTTTAGGGCCGATTATAAGTGCTAACAATAAAGGATCTGCCGAAATTTTACTTACATCTTGACCATGGTTGCGACACACTCTATCACTCGCGTTAGCGATTGCCATGTAGCAATCATATTCATGCCCGGGTTTCAGAATCCATCCTGTAATAAAAGAACGCGAAAATGAAGTCGTTATCTTTCAAGCATGTTCCACAATTCCGTCCAGATGAAAATATCTGAATATATTTTGTACTTAAAGATGTGGCGAAAACATGAATGATAAGATTGCAATACGCGTTTTCTTATCGCCGTTCTTGCGCCTGCTGCTCGAGTGGTACGTTTCGCGCACGCGCAACTTCTCTTCTGTTTCTAATTGAAACCACGTTTATTATATTCACCTACTAAAAATTAAATATCTAAGTTTAAATAGTTATTTTACTAGTTTGTATAATCTTTCAATGTGTGACGCCCGCCAGTTTGTTCTCAAAATATTTCCTTTCCTAGAACACCCTACTTTTAGAAACTTTTAGAATTCTTCGCAGAAACACCAGGTGTGATACAAACAGCGATACACCCTGGAGCTACATCTATCCTAAATAATTATTATTTGATTAATGTATCTTTGTGGGTAAATACCTATAGTGTATAATTTTATTAAATGAACGTGGACAATTAGAATATGAACATGTGATCGCTCGACACTGCAATAGCAAGTACCAACAGTACCTACATTGCTTAGTAAAGAAGATAAAAAAGCAGATCACTCTCATTCAGGGGTTCTGGAACACGGAAAACAGTTATTATTCTAGAAAAATAATTAGAACAAAACTACTGACATCTTGCAAAAATTATAACAGGCTTTCAAAAATAAAAAAAAACTGTTGCGTTAAACGTGGCGCGAAAATATATTCTACCTTTATGGTTTACAACTTTCAAAAAGTCGTGTTTTTTAGATATTTCACAAATCTAATACAAACAAAGCGACTGAGAAAAAAGCTCCAAAACAGCAACAGGAAGGAAGCCGCGGTGGGTTGAAAAATATCACACTTCACTCAACATAAACCTTATATAGTAAGTTTGAAGATCATAATTAGTTTACTTTTCTGAAACCTTGTAAAGAAGCTTGCATTCAATACCTCCTGTAATTAAAGAAGAGGGGCCCATAACTTTAGAATTTTATACTTGTACTTAATTGTAAAGTATAATTAATAAAATATTCTGTGGAAACCACTTTAACTCATCTCGCAAGATCGTTCTCCTAAAGTTGTAGTTTATTCAAAAGGTGCGGGTTTATGGTAGAGTTCGGATGTAGAAATACTCAAGGTCTTCACTTGCATACAATAGGAAAAGTTCCCGACTAGTTACATATATCTGGTGTGAAAGTTACAGCCCTTGTTAAGGGTTAGAGATTAACGTTTGGCGTGGAACGCGGGAAAACAAGTATTAAAAAATTGTAGGGATCGATTTCTCAGCTGAACCTAAAGAAATATCCCATCAATCGACTTTTTTTCTCAGTTTCGATTTAAAACATACACAAGCTTCGACATCATTTACAAAAAAAAAAGTGCTCAAGGTTAGTCAGTCTTTAAAACAAATTACAGTCCCGTATCCTCGGAGACTAAAGTAGGCAGTCAAAACGAAGTAATCCGCTCATATTCTTTTGTACTGATGGGTGTCACACGTTATACATCGCGAACTCTGGTTTCCCAGTTAAAGGTTTCAAGAACGAAGTACAGATCTACCATCCTTTGAACATTCTTAGGCCTGTCTTGAGCTTTTTGCTTCGTGCAAAACTGAGCGGATTTTACGAAACCATGAAACGGTACCCAATACTAGATAACCGGAACTCAAAAACGCATCAGTAAAAGTGATTGCATCTATAAAGCGAAAAACATAACGAATGACAACCTTTAAAATGTCATTTGAGTTCCTCACTAGAACTTATTTTGTTCATATTCTCGCTTGTGCCTCCTTGAACATCTCGAGCCTTATTAATACATAAACTGCAAAAACACTACAATCAGAATTTCGTCGGATCATTCCTTCGTCAGTGCGTTGGGGTTACATCCCTCGGTGCGGAGGGGGCAGGGAATGCCAGCAAAACCGGTTTAGTTCCCTAATTGAAAAAAAAAAGTTCAAAATTCGAAAAGATTCAAATTAATACTCGTTCAAGCATATCGGTAACCGGATCAAACCTTCGTTTCGCGGTATAACGAAACTGCTCATAGGTTTGATTAAAACGCTCAACGGATTGGTCAAACTGCTCATCGGTTTAGTTCAACTGCTCATAGGTCTAATCAAACCGCTTTCCGGTTTCATCGAAGCGGCATGCAAACCAGTTCACACCGCACAAAGGTCTGGCGAATCGGTTTGAAAGTGCTGACCAGTTCGTAAGTCAATCCAGCACTGTTAACGTGTCACGTGACTAAGCGTCGTTGGGCTTTTCCCTAGAAGCATGCGTGAAACTCGCACGACTTGAATTGACTTTGATGGCTTGAATCGTCCCATGCCGACCTTCGTGGAGTGAAACAGAGTACGGTGTTTCCTTTATAGCATGTTATCGGGGTACTAAACACCTTGGCTGTCCCTGCATGTGTTTGTTTCCTTCTGGGTACTTTCGAGAGTTGCGGAAAGCGCTTGCAGCAAGCATTAAGCCCGCCGTAGGGGTTACCGTGATCTGATTTAGGGTGGCGGTTCTGCAGTCGTTCCACCCCCCACCCCCCCCCCCTGACCTACTCTACCCCATTTAGGCCTCCACACTTCAAACCCAAACCACGCTACTTCACTCCTTGGCAAATGGGTTCCTATTATTAAAGGTGTGCAATGAAGCCCAGATATGGTTTAATGAGTTGTTGATTTGAACGTGCTGTTAATTTTTGTTTATGCAATGTTATCACGTTAAAAATGATGGACATTTGCAGTGCATTTTCCTAAACGAGCTACTTTGCTGGATTTCTGTTGTAGAAACCGTCATAGGCTCGTTATTTGCGTGTGCTAAGCCTTACTAAAAGATGTTAGAGTTCGAACAGGTCGCAAACTGATCGGCCCGTTCGGGTCATATGGTAATACGGGATATGAGCATTCGCTAAGGCGGGTACCCGTTTCATACCGCCAATCGTTTGATACGTGCATTCGTTCTGTTCAGGTACCGGTTCAAAACGAACACCCACTTGATTGCCCCCTTTGGAACAGGCGATCCAGGTACTGTGGCGAACCCTTGATTAGTTCCAAATGAGTACAGTCTAAGATCGGACGGCCCCGCACACACAAACAACGACCATGTGTCACTTTCTTCAGCACAAATTTATTAGAGTACCTTACTTAGGACGATACACCGCATTAGTCTATTAATTAGAACTTGACAACCCTACATAAGCAAGTATGAACATAATGTTGAGATGAATAAGCAATAAATCTGTACATGCGCGACATTCCACAACTTTAATTATAGGAACCGGTTTGCCATGGCGAGTAGTGGCGTTGTCTCAGTGTGATTTGTGGAGTTCTAAATAAGATAAAGGGAGCCGGGCGAGGAGGCCGACAGCGGAAGCTCCATCCCGCAGGAAATGAACTGGAGTATCAACTAGGGTACTGCAGCTGTTTCTTCAGCTACCAAACCAAACTGAATTTTCTGATTACCCGGATTTTAGACCTCAGGGTATGCTATTCATTGTGTTGAAATTCAAAATAGCTATTAAGAAAACCGGAAATTAATATTATGGCGAAAACAACATTTAAATTTCCGCGTGTTTTCCAAGGGTGGGACATCACAAATGGTACAGAATTTCAGGCCACGCAGCTGGGCTTAAACCGAGAATGTCGAGTGTTTTTTCTTGCTTCTCAATGAATGAGCTTCCGAGGATTATTTTCCCACTAGTAAACGTCTTTTAATCAGCTGGGGACGTAGTTTACTGCACATAATTTATCGCTTCTTTCGTCACACTTCAATGTTGCCAGTAGCGGATCTTGGTTCGTGAAGCATGGTGAGATCAAAACTTGAAAATTCAAAATATTCGTGAATTTGTTTTGTTTTTTTATACAATATCTGTGGGACTGGTACAGTCGTTTCTATAGGCGTGTTCAGCCACTTTTGAAGCAAATAAGTTACCATAAAAAATCGTTAAACTACACCCCTAACCGCTACGCCATATTCGAATGTTAGCTGCACGAGCTGTGCGCAAATCTCGGAAGTAAGCACACGGACAAAACCAGATAGAGGGACACCGAGGCGCTTATTGTAGTGATAACAAATTGACTGACACAATATGCTCTGTTTCACCTTACAAAGGACCGCATCAGACGCTACAGCAATCGGAGCCAACCCAAAGCAGTGGGAGTGTCGCGCGTGAGCCTCGGGAAGGACAAAGCGACGCTTAGCCTCGTGATACAATTGGACAGCTGGATCAAATGATGTTGTAGCGTCCGCTGCGGTGTATCGGAAGGGGAAACGGAGTGTAGTTGCGACAAGCGTAAACAGAGCTTACCATGTACAACTTTCGCGAGAACCTGGTCGGAGGTGGTCGGCAGAGAGCATCGGTCACACTTTCGAACGGGTTCAAGTCCCAGCATTAAGTCCCTGACATCGGGCCATCCACCCCCATGGTGACGAAGCAGTGGTATATCCAAACTAATAGCCGGTTTGTTCAAACTGCTCACCCATTTGATCGAACTGCTCACTGGTCTGAACAAACTGGTGAGCAGTTTCAAACCGGTTCACTCCTCTCGGTGCGGTACCAACAGGTTCGCCTACCGCTACGCTCAAACAGGAAAGTGGTGTTATCAAGCGCGCAAACGATTTGACCAAACCATTGAGCAGTTTAACTAAACCTGTGAGTATTTTGATTACACCGATGACAGCTCAGATATGCTGCTAAGCGAAGGTCGAAACAGATACCTCTATGGTTGAACGGGTACCGGTATGAACCTGTTGAAATTTCAAACGGTTTTCTTCAGAAGGGGTGAAGCTATTTTAGACGGCACATATATAGTACTAAGAAGGAAGTTTCCTCAGAGGACAGAAGTTTTTTTTTTTTTTAAATATAATGCCGTATCGAACGGGCACCCGTATCGAATGTGTACCTGCATCAACGGGTGCCGTTATTAGACGGGTACCTGTGTCAAAAAGGTACTAGCATTAAACGGGTGCAACAATCTCATAATACCATATGGTCTGAATGGGTCGACCAGTTTGACACTTGTTCGAATTCCAAACTTTTTTTAGGAGGGTTACTATGGCAACATGAGCGAAACACTGCACAAAAATAGTTGTTCAAAGTCAAACAAATTTATAATTAGCCTGCATATGGTTACAGGAACTGAAAGAACGAGCAAATAGCTTGCGTCCCAATATTTAGAGGATGTGTTGTGACCAGATTCGATAATCATATACTTCCATCATATATAAATATTTTCAATCTACGATAGATCGTACTTATCTCTACATTCCTATCAATGTTTATAGACACCTATAGGACAGACAGCGTTTTGTACGCGATATTATATTTACCGTCGACGTCGACGTGCAGGGTGACCAGCGCAGCAAAGATTGCCAGAAACATTATTTTCATCATATTTTCAGGTTATCTTCTACCTAAAACAAGAACAAACAAGGAAACAAAGCATGACAGTTTGAACTTAAGAGGGACATACATATATTTGAATAGTAGTGTTGACGATTGGGCTAGTTGGTCCTTCATATTAGCGGAAAATAAACAGCGCAGGGACAAGGACAGAGTAGAAGGCGGTAGACACACACAGCGCTGTGTGTGTCTACCGCCTTCTACTCTGTGCTTGTCCTTGGGCTGTTTATTTTCCGCTAATAACTTTGTAATATTTCTTTGACGGACTCAAATAGATGGGAGAATAACTTAATGTCTCAATCACTCTTCTTAAAATAGAGTATGATATTGTATAAAATGACGAATTAAGATTAATTGAATATTTTGTCAAACTGTATAAATTCAATTTCTAATTGCGATTACAAGTTGTTTGCTTTTAATTAAAAAAATATTGATACATCTCTCGAAAATGGAAAGACAAAGTTCTGTGTAGAATTTGTCCCCCTACCCCGAGATATTTTTCATCGCATTCTTTTACGCGGACCCGCGACAACGACCCTACCTTACATTTGCCCACTCACGCTTCCTCCTCAAATTTACATGCCTTTCTCGCACAGGTGATAACGATAGGCAGAAAATAAAAAAAAAGCGGCGAGGTGAAATTTCAGTTAGGATTTGTTCTGTCTGAACGAATTCTAACTGACTTACCAATGTGGGCCAAGCTTTCAAACGTACAACGTCATTTTATTTATTTTTATTTTTAATAATGGACACGGTTGTGCCACTAGAATAATGGTGGCTTGAGACGCGTATTGTTAATTTTAACAAGCTATAAAATGAAAGTGAATTTGCTGAGCAATTATTTCCTATTTCTAGTGTATAAATGGGCAGAAAGACGAGCATTCAACGGGGGCTTCTTAGGTATGTAACGTATTAATTATAAAGCCTGGAGGAGTTTATAACGTCCACATAAATGAAATAGTAAGCTAGTAATTTTATTTCGTTTGGGAGTTCTGTCGGTCCCTCGTTATTCTTAATGAACATTCGTGAAAGTCAAACGAAAGTAAGTTCATAAATTTGAAGCAAGGCTAAGCTTTACTGATTTTGTTTTAGCCATAACAGCTACACCACTGCGCCTTGTGCAGCTTCGTTACGCGGCCAGGGGGTCATAGTATAAGGTGCTAATGTTCACGCTAAGTCAATCAATTACATAAATTGGATAATTTATCTTTTAAGTATTTAATGTTAACGTAGGGTTTTCGTTGCAGACTTGCTGAGCGTCATCGAGTACTACGCCATCCTTAAACTTTATAAAAACTTCAATCGCGTGGTACGCACGGTGGCACTGCTTGCTACCCGCTCCTGCACAGCCGCAAGGCTCTCGGGAGTAAAACGCGCCGACCTTCATTTTCCGCCTCATCCGCGTTTCCTTTCCGTCAGCTATGCGCCTGTTGAACCAATGTGAATTTCAGCGCACTACCGCGCTTCCCGCATGCTCAATATATTTCTTCAGTTTACCTGTTTGAGGTGTTTTGCTGACGGTCAGGAAGTTTCTACTTCGAAGCAAATTTTTATTTTTACGATATAAAAAATAAATAACTGAACTTTAGTTAATTATATGCCTCTCGTGATGACAGTCTCCTGTAATATGTCCACGTGACCGTGTAACTCAACTGCACAGACCATATCAACTGTGCTCCCAGGTAGCACAGAGCTCTGGGACAAAATTCGGCAAATGTCTGGGAGTTTTGGGCTTTGAAAATCCCGAAGAAGCCTAAATGGAGCCAAATTTGACCTTCTTTGGCAAAAGTCAGGGAACGTTGGCCCTAATTTGCATAGGAAGCGCGGAAGTTAGGCTTCTTTTCCTGGTAGTTCAGCTGGTAACTGTCCTCTTTGGCTCAAAATCGCAAAACGAGCGCTAGAGTTAGGCTTACTGCCCGGTAGTTCGGCTGTCATCTGGCACCTACGTGCCAAAGTCGCCAAACAAGAGTCAGAATGCCAACCTTTTCAAGAACGGGCAAGGAGGAACGAAAGAGAAGGGCTGGAATTTCCCCGTACCTTCCTTTCCCTTTACTTGAACTGGTCGGAATACACCCTCTCCCCTGTAGCTTTGGCTGCACTTTTTTTTTTTTAAGTTTTCTCCCCTCTGCTTTTTTGAAAGCAGAGGGAGCTTAGCTGCATTGTTCGTGCCCCATCGACTTCGCCTTTGTTCAGCCTCCCCACCTGTTTTCGTGTCTTCGTGTGGCTGTCAGCGAGCGCGACGGCCGGTTTAAGCAAATCAGAAGGGTGGAGCGAAGCGCGTCACCTCTCTACGTAGGACGTGTAGGACAAAAACGCTTGAACGAAAATTTGTCACGTGACTCTCTCAGTCGCGCTGATGGGATCTCTGGGGCTCTTGTTTTCGCTGTTTGCCAAGGCAAACAGCGGAAACGTAGGTCCGGTTTTCGAAATGCGCTCCTCAGGGTTTTGTGGCTTTCGTGCGTTGCAGACGCAGCCGTGGGTTTTCGTCGTAAACAACCGGAATACGTCCGTGCAATTTTTTTCTTTTTTTTATAATAATGGCCATCTTGTACGCCGGAGTCCGGGGAATTCTTGTACTGTGTTTGTTAGACGCGCTTCGACAAAAACGGCTCTTCGCCGACGACGAGAAGTCACTTGAATGTACGCGACCTTGTTTCTCGACTGTGTATTTAGGCTGCCCGAGTCGGATTATGCATCTGTCAAGGATTACATGATATCGCTCTTTTATTAGTAAGTACACTGCAAGCATGCTTCTGATAGTAGTTCTGTTTCCCTCTCAATCTCCGCCGTTTCTGTGTTTTCATTTTTGAGTTTTGCTCCCATTTTTTTTTTTTTTTGTTCACATGAAAACAGGGTGAATTCTATTTCATAATTTGCTTTTCGTTTTACAAATAAATATGACCTTTGTAAATATATCGAGGATAAGCTATGTGTAATGATACTGGTTTAATAAACTTCTGGGGGCGATCAAAAAAAGGCTGTTCGGCCGTGAATGTGAACAATATGCAACAAATAATATGCAACGTCCTATACAACACAGACTTGCACGACGTGCGGCCAACACGGAGCAGATGTATCGTAGAGTATTCGCACGATATCGCGAGAAGACTAGGCCGGGGCAAAACAACTGTATGGCAATACCTGCCGGGTTTCAAACCTTGGTGCAAAACTGGAGATTTGGGCGATACTGGAACCGACTTTCGGCCGGTACTGGCCCGACACTGCCAAGTATCGCCGTGCTGCTTGGGAAGGGAGATGATGACACCTACCATCGTGTTTCCAACGCTTATTTAATTTAATTTTTTGTGGATCGTGTGAGAGAGCACTTCTGTGGCACACCAGAGAAATTACGAACTTGGGCAGGCTTCTGGGCTTTCTTTGGCATTTTTTTAACATTTATTTGTCACTCCAGTGGCTAGCCAGAAAAAAGGATTTCGGGCTTTGGTATGTCCGAAATCCACAAATTGAATGTTACTTTGGCAGTTTTAGTTCAAGTATGGCACTTTGTTTGGCACTCGTGTGGCACAGCAAAGAAAAGCCAAACTTTGGCATGTGCGAAATACCCAAATCAGTCGTTGCTTTGGCAGTTATAGCTCGAGTATTTCACTTATTTCGGCACTCTTTTGGTGGACTAGAGCAAAGCCAAACTTTGGCGTGCCCTAGTATTGCCCAACTATGACTATAGTTAGGAAACGTAGTTTGGCACTGACACACGAAATGGAGAAAAACGTAACTAGGCCCAAGTTAGGTCCCATATGTTTGCTACACTTTCGCCCAAGTTGGGCGTTTCTCTGGCGTGCTACCTGGGTTTCCATGGTAATTTTAATACAAACCTGCAAATTAAAAAAATAAAATTATCTATGTGTATTGTAAATTTTGCACCTACTTCAGAAGCTTTTCCAGTCACATACACGCCCGATTTATTCAACCAAGAGTGCAGCGTTCTTGTTCAACATATTTGATCAGAAAGCTGAGTGTTCAGGCTCGCGTGTCGTTTTAGCCCATATTGGCTTCTGAATTTTCGCAGACAGATAACGTGTGCGTTTCTTAGCGTACAAAATTTACTTTCAGTGGAGTCACGAGTTTAATTGACAAATTTGTTCGTTACTAAGTTCATAAAACGCGACTAAAAAACTGAAAAAGCGGGAGAAGATAGGTCAAACTATTGAAAGTACGAATTATTAAATTACGATTTTCGCGAAAACCAGTACGCACTTTAGATGGCATTTATTATCACAATATTGTTTTCAATACACCTTGGCTCCTTCCTAAATACATCCAACGGTTTTAGGCTGCCTTTTTTACGCTCTCTTCTAACTTTACTTTTAGTGTTTAGCTATACGTAAACTTAAATGCGCGTCGTACGTATGAAACAGGATATTGTCCTACTTAGGACGAGCAAAAGTCCGGCAGCCACACATACTTCTTTTCGTCTACAAAATGTATGCTCTTCTGCGTTCAAACGTCTAGTGTTTCCCACAGGTACATTAGTAACGTATTATTATAAGCAGACGTACTAAACTCCTGTTACAAGGCAGTTCTACTGCGACAGACATTGGTCATGGACAATTTATAAATTACAGTAAAACACTTACGTGATTCTTTTACCTCAAGAACGATGAAGTGGCAGTCTGTATTCTGAAGAGCAATTTTTACATCTTTTATATCATAGGAAGCGGTCAGGTAACAATAGATATCGCTAAGGGTATATTGCATAAAATACTTGACAGCAAAAACAACGAACAATGCTCAAAGGCAACAAACTTCAGAACCATTGTTTTACAACTGTTGACATGAAACCACACAACAATATCGACCAAAACCACATGTTCACTTGATTGTAAACTTACGTGGGCTGTTTCATATGGACTCAGGCAACGGTGTGCAGTCGTAATTTTTATTTTGCATCATATATTTTTTTTTTTTTTCGTGGCGCGTATTCCAAGCGGAACAATCCATTTTATTTTAATGTCCTGACATGTTTAGTTTCT